TGTAGTTACATATCCACATAGCACTTCTTGGTTCAAAGAACTAAGATCTTGGGGCATAAGGATTTGAGCCTTAAGGGAAGTGGGGAGGGTTTAGGTGTGTGGACGAGGGTCATGCAATAAAGTGAATATCAAGAAATTCAGGAGGAATGAAATAGATAGACTCTGTGAATATTTGAAGCAAGAAGACACTGTGTGGAGTAGTTTGGCTAGGGTTTAGTCCTTGGAGTCAGAGAGACCCAGGTTTGATTTTCAGCAAGGCACTCTGGATCATAATTTCTTCATCTATAATGGGGTTGCCCTGGCTGGGTGGCTCAGTTGGTTGGAGTGTTGTCCTGGTACACCAAAAGGTTGGCGGTTCAATTTCTGGTATGAGCACATACCTAGGTTGTGGGTTTGATGCCCCCCGCCCCCTGCCCCTCCGGTCAGGGCATCTATGGGAGGCAACTGATCGATGTTTCTTTCTCACATCAATGTTTCTCTTTCTCCCCCCCCCCCCCTCTCTTTCATATCAGTAAAAGAAAACAAACATATCCTTGGGTGAGGATTAAAAAAAAGGTGTCAATAATGTATTTTCCTTATGGACTGTTGAGAGGACTAAATGAAATAATGCACATAAGTGGCATAGCTCGCCTTTGTCTTTCTTTCCCACAGTTTGCATTCTGGAATTAGAACAGGCTTTACTGTGATTCCTGCAGTGACTTCGTTTTGCTCTCAGATCACTGTTGAGGTCAGCGATCCGAGAGCAGGAAACGGAGAATTTTACAGGCACGAAGGTGGAGTCAGTGTGCTCTGTCTAAGCTCATCCTGGGACTTGTCGGTACTGCTGGTCCTAAAGGAAGAAGGAAGGAGGGAAACACCATCTTAACTTGGGATGGTGAAGGTAGGGGTGCTCTTAATGTCACAGATGCTGCGGGCAGTAGAGCGGGAATAGATGGTGATGGAAGGAGACTTGAGCTGGGTGGTGAACACACATACAATATACAGATGATGGATTGTAGAATTACACACCTGAAACCTATATAATGTTAATAACCGATGCCACCCAATAAATTCAATAAGAAAAATAGATGCTATAGGCATCTTCGCTGAGCAAGAAATAACTTCCAGAAAGGAGAAGTTGGCAATCATGTAGAACTACATGTCCTCGGACCAGCAAATGACACCCCCATGGAGGGTGTGGCAAAGCGTGCAGTAGGTTCTGGAAGCATTTAGTTTCTGCTCCTGGCTCTGCCACTGACTGCTGTGTGAGCTTGTCCAAGTGTAACCTCTCTGAGCCTCTGCTTCCTTCTACCAGTGGGCTCTTCCCACACGCCCCCATCCTGTGGTCTGAGGGTCAGGTGGCTTAATACCTGAGCAGACTTGCCACTGGATCAGAGGCCAGTGGGTGGAAGCTGCCCCTCTGTTCCCCAGGCGCATCTCTCCCCTCGCACCTCCTTGCTACGGGCTGCGGAGGATTGCTTTCTCATTCACTCTTCCCTTCAGCTCTCCCCTCCTGCCCACTCTTCAAAGTCTGTCTCTAATGTTATCTCCTCTAACCTTTTCACCATCCTCCCCATTCTGGGTGAGTGTTGCCCGCCTCTTAGAGATTTTTCAAATTCTGCCTTACAGTAGTGCTTTTCCTGTGCTGTTCAACGTACCCCAGAAAATTGCTAACCTTTGAGGGCAGGCGTGTGTCTTACTTTTGCAAACCCTGTAGTTCCAGCACAGTGGCATAGCAAAAAGTGTGAAATCACGGTCAGGCTTTTGCTGAGCACCTGCTATTCCTCAAACAGCACAGTGGTGAGCTAAACAGCCTGTGTCTTCAGTTCCTGGCCCCCCCACGCCCCAGGGAGACCCCACCAAGCAGAGGAATGCCCATGCACTTCAGGTTGAGTGAGATTTCCCCTCGCACATCAGCTGGTGGATGGAGATGAACAGCTGTCTTCTGGATGGTGCTCTGCTGAGGGGAGCAGGGCTCTGGGGGTGGGGGTGGGGGTGGGGGTGGGGGGCAGGCCTGAGGAGGGAGTCAGGTAGGTGCCATGTCACTGGGAGGGGCTCTAGAGTGCATGCAAGAGGCAGGGATAAGGAGGGACGTTCTGTAGGGAAGCACACAGGTCAGGTCTCTGCTGGTGGAGGGGGCTGTGACCTGGGCCTGGGTCAGGTCTCTGCTGCTGGTGGAGGGGTCTGTGACCTGGGCCTGGGTCAGGTCTCTGCTGCTGGTGGAGGGGGCTGTGACCTGGGCCTGGGTCAGGTCTCTGCTGCTGGTGGAGGGGGCTGTGACCTGGGCCTGGGTCAGGTCTCTGCTGGTGGAGGGGTCTGTGACCTGGGCCTGGGTCAGGTCTCTGCTGCTGGTAGAGGGGGCTGTGACCTGGGCCTGGGTCAGGTCTCTGCTGCTGGTAGAGGGGTCTGTGACCTGGGCCTGGGTCAGGTCTCTGCTGCTGGAGGAGGAGGAGGAGGAGGAGGAGGAGGAGGAGGCTGTGACCGGGCCTCAAGCCCCACTATAGAACTGCTCTGTATGGGGCAGCAGGTGCCTCCTGCCGGGCATGAGCTGAGGGTGCTGCCGTGCTGCGTCAGTATTCATTGAGCCATGGGGCACCTGTCCACCCAGGTACTGAGCACCTGGGCGCTGGGCCTCATGCCGGCCATTGCTCTCCTCCTGGGAACAGGAGGACACTGGAAACCAGTTAGGGTGTGAGAGGCTCCAGGTTACGTTGCCCTCAGAGGAGTGTCAGCTCAGGAGCCTGGAAATGTGTGTTAAAAATCCGACTTCCCAGAAAGGTAGAGGTGTTGGTTAGGTCTGCGAGGCCTTCCTGGGAGTTGTGACTTCTGAACGGGCAGTGGGCAGAACAAGAGTTTGGGGTTTGCGCCGCTTCCCTCTGGCATGATGTGCCCAGTGCCTCGCCCTGCGCGGGCCGTGGCATGTTCGTCAAGTGTCCGCTGGGCTGTGAGACGGGCTGGGAAAGCTGGGGGAGAAGAAGGTTTGCCGATGGCTGTGTCTGAGCTGCGGGAGCTGGGGGCGCTGTGTCCACTCTGCTGGCTCTGTCCGAGGAGTCGCACGGAATTCGGTGCGTAGTTGTAGCTCAGCCAATGTTTGGGACGAATGACTTAATTTCATATTTTTGTCCATTCTATTCATTGTGTGTGGGGGGGGTATGTTAGTTTCCTGTGGCTCCTTCAGCAAGGTCCTGCAAGCAAACTAACTCGGAGCCATGGAGGTCGATTCTCCAGCAGGTCTGGAGGCTGGACGCCGGGAATCAACCTGGCCCAACTCCCTGGGGCCTCAGGGGCCGGCCTGTTCTCTGCCTCCTCGTCTGGTGGGGCTCCAGGAGGCGTGGCTGTATCTGTCCCTGTGCCCACGGCTCCTCCTCCTTCCCTCTGTGTGTCTCTCACAAGGACACCTGTCCCTGTGCCCGGGACACAGGACACACCCAGGCCGAGCTCCTCACCCCATACTTCTTAACCTCCTTGCATCTGCAAGGACTCTTGTTTCCAATTAGGTAACCCTCAGGTCCTGGAGATGAGGGTGCAGGCTTATTGGGAGGGCACCACTCAGTCCACTATAAGGGGTCTTAGTATTTTTCTGATCAGCTCTCTTTTAGCTATTTTTAAGACTGTTAGTCACTGGGTGTGTGTGTCCTAACTTGTTGCTTGCACCATATATATATATATATATATATATATATATATATATAAAAATATATATATATATATATTTATATATATGTATGTATGTGTGTGTGTGTGTGTGTGTGTGTGTATATATATATATATATATATATATATATATATATATATACATATATATAAAAATACAGCTAGGTTTCACTCCCCCTGCCCACGATTTTAGGTTCAGAAAGTCCTTCCCCACTGACTGTCTGATAAGTAGTCATTCATGTGACAATAAAACCTTGGGAAATTAACTTTTAAATCCAGTGGTAACTTGGTTTGATATCTGCTGTGAGGTGAGGGTCTGCACTTTGGAAAAAAATAGCTAATCATAACAGATGAACATTTGAACAGACCTGTACACACAAACACACAGATGAGAGAGAAACCTGCAAACCCAGGGCAGCCTGAGCAAGGCCTGGGCTTAGTTAACTTGGTGCCACAGCCGGTTCCTGGTGCCACCACAGGGCACGCTGGCTGGGCACCAGGGCCTTTCTGTTCTATTTTTGTAATTTCTCGTAGACTATCATTATTTAAAAAAACATTTTTTTTAAAAAAAAACAGTGAATCAGATTTACCAATACCAACTATTAAATAATTTATTCTGTGATTTGTAAAGCTGTGACAGGTGTTGTAGCGTTGTGGTTAAACTTATTTAACTTGGGAAAAGTGACATCATTTGATGTGTGGCCTTTCCCCTAGAAACGATGTGCCCTTTTATTCAGGCTATACTTTCTCTTCTAATGACATGTGTGCAGCTTGGTCATAGATACTTTCACGTTTTTGTTGTTATTGTGCATGAATCTCTTTTCCTTTTATACTCTAACCAGCTTGTGCCGGCTCCATGGCACCAAGCAGAATGCCCTCACCCTTTCAAATACGTGGAATTCTTTTAACTTGGTGAATGCTCTCATCTGCACCTAAGACAATGATTAACAGGCTTTCTCTTCTTTAGTTATTTAGTTAGACCTGTTGTCGGGAGGGGTGGTTGGCTGTTTACTCTGACGTGGATTTCGGTAGCTGCTCTCCATCCGAGTGTGCGGGGACATTCTTTGTGAAGGAATACAAAGTTATGTTCCATGACTGTAATGCTAACTGTATCGGGTTGGATTCTATTTCTGTGAAAATTATAGAGGTGCTGCCTCTCAAGGGTCAGGTGGTGTGTTACCTGGGGTGCCCTTGGCCCAGCCAGGTGGTAGACAGACGGGGCTGCCCGCCCAGGGGGCCCGGAGCTGGCGCTGGGCTTTCCTCCCGGCCGCGAGCCTGGGCGGCGCTGAGGAGGCTGGAAGGCCGCTAGCTGGTGAGCCCACATTTGGAAACACTCACAAGTGGGAACTGTACTAACCTTCCTCCAGGTCAGTCTTATGAAATTCGGCTGCTGGAGAATCGGAAGCTGGGAGACTTCCAGGATCTGAACACAAAGTACGTCAAGGTAAGTCTGTGGGGCGCTCTCCCTCCCTGAGGGGCCGTGGGGGTCTCAGCGCTGGGCGCGCTGTGGTGGTCAGGAGTGGCATGGGGGTTTGGGGAAAACCCCAGAGGGAGTGGGCCCCTGTTCCCCGGGTGCTCTCCCAGGGACTAGGACGCCACAGCCGAGAGCCGAGTGGCGTGGGCTGATGGACGAGGCTCTGGGCTCCAGGTTGGCCACTCCCTGAGCTTGTCTGAGCTTCCGTTGGCTCATCAGCACAGAAGGAATGACAAGTAGCCGTGTCTGTAAAGCACTCAGTCGTCATGGACAAAGGGCAGGCAGCAGTCTGCTCGCTGCTGTTCATGTTGCTGGGACTCTGTGGCGGGAGTGGGGCGCCCGGGGCGGACGACACCAGGAGGGGCGACCTTGAGGGTGGGGGCGCCCTGGCTCAGAAGGCGGGAGGTGGGTTCCTCTTGGTGCCCACACTCAGCTCCTCCCGCCCGTTTCCCTGCCAGAGCATCATCCGTGTGGTTTTCCATGACCGTCGGCTGCAGTACACAGAGCACCAGCAGCTGGAGGGCTGGCGGTGGAGCCGGCCTGGGGACCGGATCCTGGACCTCGGTGAGCATGTTGGGCTTCTTCCTGGACGCCACCTGGCCTGGGAGGGGCACCTTAGGGCCCCTGTCTTGTGTGAAACCCTGTGGGAGCTGGCAGTCACCAGGCCTGCTGCCAGGAGTCCCAGGGAAGCTTTGAGAAGGATCACGTGTTAAAGGATGTTGATAAGCGATAACGGGAAGGCTGGCATCGCAGGTGGGCGTGGAGACGGAAGCTCGGGGCTCAGGCAGTGGTCCGTATCCTTCGTCCACAGCCTTTGGGCAGACGGGTTTTGGAATTCAGAAGCTGGAGTGACAGGCTGTGGTGCGTGGACACAGCATCGGACATGCCTCCAACAGGCAGTCGAGCACAGTCCTTTCTGCAGCAAATAACAGGACCGTTCACGCAGATTGGACCACGACTAACAGCTTCATGGCAACCCACGCCAGGCTTGCTGCCAAAGGAGCTTTGCACGGCCTGGTTTCTGAACGTTTGGCGTCTCCGTGGTTAGAGCGGGGCCTGAGATGGTCCCGCCTTCAGCATCGGCGTGGCTGACAGTGCGCTTTGTGTGTGTGCAGATATTCCACTGTCTGTTGGTATCTTGGACCCCAGGGCCAGCCCGACCCAGCTGAACACTGTCGAGTTTTTGTGGGACCCTTCGAAGAGAGCCTCGGCGTTCATTCAGGTATGTGGTGGGGGGGGTGGGCTGCCCGCTGAGGGGTATGCAGGGGGGAGGGGCTTCCCACTTGGGGGTACGCGGGGAGGCTGCCCACTGGGGGTACGCAGGAGGGGTGCTGCCCACTGGGGGGTATGCGGGGGGGGCTGCCCACTGGGGTGTACGCAGGAAGGGGGCTGCCCACTGGGGGGTAAGCAGGGGGGGCTGCCCACTGGGGGTACGCGGGGGGGGGGCTGCCCACTGGGGGGTTCGCAGGAGGGGGGCTACCCACTGGGGGGTATTCAGGGGGACTTCCCACTGGGGGGTACGCGGGGGGCTGCCCACTGGGGGGTACGCAGGAAGGGGGCTGCCCGCTGGGGGGTATGCAGGAGGGGGGCTGCCCACTGGAGGTATGCGGGGGGGCTGCCCACCGGGGGGTACGCAGGAGGGGGGCTGCCCGCTGGGGGCTACACAGGAGGAGGCTGTCCATGGGGGGGTACACAGGAGGGGTGCTGCCCACTGGGGGTACGCAGGGGGGCTGCCCACTGGGGGGTTCGCAGGAGGGGGGCTGCCCACTGGGGGGTATTCAGGGGGGCTGCCCACTGGGGGGTATGCGGGGGGCTGCCCACTGGGGGTACGCAGGAAGGGGGCTGCCCGCTGGGGGGTATGCAGGAGGGGGGCTGCCCACTGGAGGGTATGCGGGGGGGCTGCCCACTGGGGGGTACGCAGGAGGGGGGCTGCCCACTGGGGGGTACGCAGGAGGAGGGCTGCCCGCTGGGGGCTACGCAGGAGGAGGCTGCCCACGGGGGGGTACACAGGAGGGGGGCTGCCCGCTGGGGGGTATGCAGGAGGGGGGCTGCCCGCTGGGGGGTATGCAGGAGGGGGGCTGCCCACTGGGGGGTATGCAGGAGGGGGTGGCCCTGGGGGGGTCCATGCTGGGTTTCTCAAACCAGCCCGTGCAGGCGCTGCTGGGCCCTGCCCTCTGCTGGGGGCCAGGGGGTTGCAGGGGAGGAGTGTGCGTACTCATAACCAGAGCTTGTTGGTCACGGGGCTGGGAAAAGGATGGGAATGTTTTAGAATCCTGTGTGTGGTTTGCTTATGACTATGGAAGCTTTTTATAAAATAAAGTCTTCCCTAGCATATTTGAGGTAAAAAAACGGTCCTTAAGAGTTTCTGTTATTAAGTTAATTACTTAACGGTCAAGCCCTGTGTGTGGGTCCAGCTTCATGGTCAGCACAGCAGGAGACTGAGCCGCTGAGGGCGTGACCGCACGCCTGCCGCGGGCCCGTGTGGCTCTCCCTCCCGCGGGGCCCTTGGTGAGCCTCTTCTCTTCAGAGACTAGTAATGAATATAAAGCCATCACCACAGTGCCCAGTTCATAACAATGGCTCAGTAGAAGTTCATGACCTTTTCTCCATGATTATAATACTCTTGTATTTTAAAGTTATTACCTTATTGTGTTATCATAGTATGTATTGTACTAAAACAAACAGCATTATAACAATAAATTCATATCAAGTGCCCTCCGTGTAGTAAGTACAGAGGTGGTTCCGGCCTTCTGGTCACCTCCCGGCCTGGCCCACGTAACCTGGATGCCAGGCCGTAGGGGCTAAGCTGCGCCGTCGCCCCCACCCCCCCTGCTGCCTGTAACATTTGCCAAGGGAGGTTCTGGGGGAGGGGGGAGGGGGCTCCTGGGGTCAGCAGGCCTGGAGCAATGGCCAGGACTTAGCTGGTCAGGCAGGGCCTCCGAGGTCAAGGGACAAAGGTGGGAGGGCATGTCTTTGTGGAGAGGGCGGTGGAGAGACCACCTGCCCGGTGGCATGGGCAGCGCTGCGGGAGAGGGGAGGTTGGGTGTGCACCGACCAGGCAGGATGGGCGCCTTCCTTGGAGAGGAGCCCGCCTGGCCCCTCCCCCAGCAGCCCCACGTCTCCCCTCCCAGGTGCACTGCATCAGCACAGAGTTCACCCCGAGGAAGCACGGGGGCGAGAAGGGGGTGCCTTTCCGAGTGCAGATCGACACGTTTAAGCAGAACGAGAATGGGGAGTACACCGAGCACTTGCACTCCGCCAGCTGCCAGATCAAGGTGTTCAAGGTAGGGACGGCCTCGCCACGCCCACCACGGTCCCTGCCCCGGGCACGCCTGCTTCCTCCAACGCCGGACAGCGACACCAGACATTCTCGCAGTGCCACGTGGGCGCCCAGCAAGGAGCCTTGATTGGGCTCCTGCCTCCATCCCCGTGTCCTGGGACGGGCTCCTGCCTCCATCCCCGTGTCCTGGGACGGGCTCCTGCCTCCATCCCCGTGTCCTGGGACGGGCTCCTGCCTCCATCCCCGTGTCCTGGGACGGGCTCCTGCCTCCATCCCCGTGTCCTGGGACGGGCTCCTGCCTCCATCCCCGTGTCCTGGGACGGGCTCCTGCCTGCGCCGCCGTGTCCTGGGACGGGCTCCTGCCTCCATCCCGTGTCCTGGGACGGGCTCCTGCCTGCGCCGCCGTGTCCTGGGACGGGCTCCTGCCTCCATCCCCGTGTCCTGGGACGGGCTCCTGCCTCCATCCCCGTGTCCTGGGACGGGCTCCTGCCTGCGCCGCCGTGTCCTGGGACGGGCTCCTGCCTCCATCCCCGTGTCCTGGGACGGGCTCCTGCCTCCATCCCCGTGTCCTGGGACGGGCTCCTGCCTCCATCCCCGTGTCCTGGGACGGGCTCCTGCCTCCATCCCCGTGTCCTGGGACGGGCTCCTGCCTCCATCCCCGTGTCCTGGGACGGGCTCCTGCCTCCATCCCCGTGTCCTGGGACGGGCTCCTGCCGTGCCCACCCTCAGCTTCCAGCATCGCGTGTGTCCGCGCTCACCTCCATTTGATAAGAATGGGTGCTTTTGCACATTTAAAAATTGTGTTTCCTCCCAAGGAGACACTTGGACTTTCCCTCAAGGAAAGACAGGGACTGTGCCCTCGTCTCGGTAGCCCATGGCTCCCTGGCTCCCCTTTCTGCACCTGAGGCAGAAACTTAGCAGTGAGGGCCCTCCCACCAGGCTCCTTGACCGCACACCAGGTGTTTGGGGAACTGGGCCAGCCGTGCTGCTGCCGTGTCTGAGTGACCCGACAAAGGCGTGGCACCTCCTGTCCCGAGGGGGCACAGCGCCCACCCGCCACGCCAGTCACAGAGGTCGTTCAAACAGGTGTTTGCATGTGTCAGGCCGAGTCCAGCCGACCTGTCCGTCGCTCTCCCACCCTGGTCGCCCCCCTCCCTGGGAAGCACTGGCTTTTGGAGGCCTGACCTGGGGCTCTGTGTGGGTCTCGGGGCCTTTGCAAGGGAAGACAGGGCCCCTCTGGCCAGCAGCGCCCTGTGGTGTCACCGGGCTGAGTGTGTCCCACACGCAGGCACAGCCTTGCTCTGTGTCTTCTGGGGAACAGGGCCCGGGGGCGGAGCAGGTGATGTGGGCTTGGCGGCCACATGCCTGCCCTCCCGCTGAACACTGGGCCTGTCCTTATGTCCCCGTATGACCCCCTGCAAGCCCGCCTCTGTGCAGCGTGGGCATCACTCTGAGCACTGTTTCCTAAAATCCCCCGAGCTGGGAGCCAACAGCTGTGCCTGAGGAAGGTGCCGGAGGGTGGAAATCCTTGACGAGGCCATTGAACTGGAGAGTGAGCTTTGCTCACTGACTGCCCACTGTGTGTGGCCTGTGTGTGCATAGTACTGCTCAGTCCTGGGCTGCTAGGTGCTTGATATCGGAACTCGCCAACCCCACTGTGAGCCCTGGACGCCAGAGCCCAGCGGTTCCGTCCGCAGCCTGCTAGGGCCGGCTAGCCGGCGCACCCCTGCTCTCACATCTGAACCGTGACCTGGTCAGCACTTGGTTCCTCCCCTGTAAATGAGGGGATGAGAGTACCTGTGAGGTCAGGACACCTCAAGTCCCTCAAGCTCACAGGCACCCAGACAGGCTCTGTCAGGGCAGAGACCTCATGTGACGTGTGAGCCTCGAGTGGCAGGAGTCCTGGTGTTGGGGGGCCTGGAGGCCTTCATGACGTGTCTGGGAGCTCACAGCCTGTAAGCGTGGGCCAAACCCCGACCGGCAACCCCCAGCTCTCTTCCCTCCCATCCATGGCTAAGCCAGGGAGTGCATTGGCGTTGTCATGGCTCTTGGGGTTCCTTTCCCCGGTACTCCCCCCTCCCCCCGCCCCCCAGCGGCCTGCAGCCCCGTGGCAGGCTGAGTTCCCTGGGGCGGGGAAGGGCTCCAGGCAGGAGGACTTGCGCTCGATGTCTGGGAAGAGAGCGAGGCTGTCCGGCCGGCCCACAAGATCCTGCCTGGGCTCTTGCAGGCTTCGTGGCCACCGCCCAGCCCTGGGTCCTCCACCGATCGCCATCCCTGCCTGCTGTGGGCTAATCGGCCCCCTGTGCTCTGCCTTTGTAGCCGAAGGGAGCAGACCGCAAACAAAAGACCGACCGAGAGAAGATGGAGAAGAGAACCGCCCAGGAGAAGGAGAAGTACCAGCCGTCCTATGAAACCACCATTCTCACCGAGGTGAGCGGCCTGGCGCTGCGGGCGAGTCTCGGGGGGTTCCCAGCTCGGGGAGTGCTGTTTTGAGAGCCCCGGTGGTGGTGGTGTGCTCTCCGGTTTGGAGCTGTCTTCCTCTGACCAGGCCCCGAGGCCAAAAAGCGTTTCAGAAATAACTTGTAGTTGTCTGCACTTTTCAAAATCAGGGCATTACTTTTCAAAAATAGGTAATAGGTCCCCAGTTCAAAAGCTGTAAGAGAATAGACATTAGGAAAGGCCCCTCCCGCCGCTGCTCAGCCTCGCAGTCCTCGCCCCAGGGCAGCCAGCAGCTCTGAATCTGGCCCGACTTGCTCTGCCAGGGACTCCAGTCTGTACACGGGTTTACACCAGCAGTGCACACAGACATCCTGGTCTGCAGCTTGCCTTTTTTTTAAATCTAATAGTGTATCTTGGAGTCTGCTCCCTATCTGTTCATAGAGAGCTTTCTAGGTCTTTACCCCGCTTGTTGCCTTTGTCGTTGGTGGACATTGTTGTTTCCCGGCTCTTGCCTCTTCAGACAGGTGCCGTGAGCCTGGTGCACGAGGCGTTCTCAGTGGGAGAATGTCTGCAGCTCCCGTTTTCGGAGCAGCATTGCTGGCTCAGAGGGTGTGAACCCTTGCTGTTTTGGGGTTTGGGTAGATACCAGAATGCATTTTCTCTTTTTAAAAAAATATACTTTTTATTGATTTCAGAGAGGAAGGGAGAGGGAGATAGAGATAGAAGCATCAATGATGGCAGAGAATCGTTGATCGGCTGCCTCCGGCACACCCCACACTGGGAATCGAGCCCCCAACCCAGGCATGTGCCCTGACCGGGAATCAAACCGTGACCTCCGGGTTCAACACTGAGCCACCATGGCCCCGCAGAATGCATTTTCTCTTAGCCCTGATGCCAGTACCAGCCTGCTCCACCATCCTCTGTCCCGGGCACTTCTGAGATGCTCACGGTCACAGGCCTTTTTCTCCGGTCACAGGTCACTGCTGGTGTCACCTCTCTTAGTACAGGCTCCATGATTGTTTTTAAACAGCTGGTCCCTGCTGTGTTCTGCAGTCCGGCCAGTTCCTAGGTGGTGTTTGTTCACTGAGTAGCTTGACCTATTCAGAAGGCCCCACAGATATGTAAGGCCCAGCCATGGCCGTGGCGAGGTTAAGGCTGTGTTAAGGGTGAGACCCAGGCAGAGTGTCTCTGAGGACTGGCCTGGTCCTGACTGACGAGCTGCCTGTGTGTGTGTGTGTGTGTGTGTGTGTGCATGTGGGTATGCATGTGTGTACGTGTAGTAAGCCACATGTGGAAGACTATCTGTAATGAGAGAGCATGGGAGTTAATTTAATGGCAGAGACAGATGTGTGCTGGCGTTTATCTGAGGGTAACAGCGGCCAGAGAATCCTGCCTCCCCCCACCTTGCACCCCCTCCCGGCGCATGAAGCAGTGCCAGCCTGCACTGCGGGGCCAGCTCAGGCCCGGGTGGTGCCCAGGCTGAGTTCTGCCCGGGCTGCTGCTCTCCTCGGCCTCCGGGCTGAGCCTCATTCGGCCTCTGCACCCCGTGCTCCTGTGGCTTCCTCGTGTGGACGGGCCTGTGTGTCATGCATCTTTCCACGCCCTGCACAATGTGGCGTGGCCGGCGCAGCACCCCCTGGCCTGGGACCGTGTAAGGTGACGGCTCCTTTGTATCTCGTCAGTTTGTTCCGCTGGGGTTTACACAACAAACCCAGCCACACTGAGAGCAGAGGTAAATATTCACCAGCCCTTGCTGGTGACAGTGCGTCTTCAGGAACGCTTTAGACTGGCCTCTCCAAAGAAGTGTTGTCACGGGGAAGGCAGGTGAGCCGTCGCTGGCTTCCCAGCAGGCCAGCCCCGTGCGTCTGCTTCCTCTGGGACCCTCCGCGTACTCACCTTCGGCTTCTGCACAAGAAGTTCCTCGAGGTCGAGGGTGCATCTGGTGCTGCTGTCTCCCTGAGCTGGAGCAGGGCGCCTGCGTGCCCTACACCCACAGGACTGAGCGGACGAGGCTGCTGGTGAACGCGAAGGCCCGTCTGCTGGGCTTCCCAGCAGTTTCTTGTTTGGGAGTTGTCTGGTCCGAGCTCCCTGCTTCCTGCCTTTGCACCCATCTGTCTGCCCTGGGACCTGCTGTGGGCAGCCGCCCGCTTTTGTTTTCCTCTCTCGTGGGCCCAGTAGTCGGGTGGCCGATGGTGTGTCCCTGTTTGGTTTGACGGCTAGGAAGCTCACAGAGACATGTGTCCACTTTGCTCCGGGATGACCTGCTGCGCATCTGGTCTCTGCTGCTGTCTTCGATTATTGGGGTGGGGTGAGCCTCCTGTCCGGGCTCACGGGGCCACAGGGTGAAGGCAGCCGGGTGTTGAAGGGTCCGTGGGTTTGTCCGTTGACTTCAGTGGATGCAACTCGGTGCAGCCCAGGCGCCGGCAGGTCTGGCTTCTCCTGGAGCTCCGCGGCAGTCACCGCTGCCTGCGCTCTCTCCCCGCAGTGCTCCCCGTGGCCCGACGTGGCCTACCAGGTGAACAGCGCCCCGTCCCCCAGCTACAACGGCTCTCCAAACAGCTTCGGCCTCGGCGAAGGGTATGTGTGACCCCGCTCCCCCCCGCCCCTGCAGGGATGACAGGCATGATTCTTTCCCTGCCCTTCCTCTTCACATCTTCTCTCCTGTAGCCTGGCCTCGATGTGGGTGTCAGGGTGGCTGACGGGTGCTGCACTCACAATATGTTTAGCACTTGCCCAGCTTTTTGTGCTTGGACAGCTTCTCTGAATGTTGTCGGCAGCCCAGTGCCCACCCTGTCCCCTCCTCCAGTGCAGGAGGCAGCTGATCAATGTTTCTCTCTCAGCATTCATGTTTCTCTCTCGCTCCCTCTCCTTAACCTCTCTCTCTCAAATCAATAAAACAAAAATATGTTAAAAAAAATAAATACAACAGCCTCCGAGCTGAGGGGGGAGGAGCAACAGGCAGGTGAGGACCTGCACCAGCCCCGAGGCCTCGCACTCACATCTGCCGCTTCCTTTGCAGCAGCACCTCACCGACCCACTCCCACCCGCTGGAGACCCTGCCCGTGGGCAGCGATGTAAGTGTGCGGCCCTGCGTGTCTTGTCCCTGGGCCCTGCCCATCCTGTCCCCGCGGCCCCATGGCATCCTGGCCCCGCGGCCTGTCCCTGGGCCCTGGGCCGCCATGTCAAGGCTCCCCCCTCTCCCGCAGCACCTGCTCCCGTCCGCCTCCATCCAGGACGCCCAGCAGTGGCTGCACCGCCACAGGTTCTCGCAGTTCTGCCGGCTCTTCGCCAGCTTCTCAGGTGAGCGACTGTGGACATGCGGGACCTTGGAAATGGGGACCTCGGAACTGCGCAGCAAGGCCAGTTACCTCCCGGGACCGGGGCTGTGGTTTGTCCTGGGGACCCAGAGCGGTGTGGGCCACTCACTCACACTTGCTGACCTGGGCCACGTGCTGAGTGCCGGAGTCCTGCCCGAGAAGCTCCCAGCCAAGTGCGGCTCTAAGGGAGGGTCACCTGGCACCTTGTCAGCGTCCGCCACACCTGCCAGGCTCCTGTCTGCCTGGGTTGGCCCCTGAGCCACGCAGGCCAGTGCACATGCGACAAGCCTCCCTGGTAGCTCTCCCACCAAATGCTGCTCGTCACATGGGGTCCAGGGCCACTCCTGGACGGTGGGGGCGAAGCCCCAGGTGAGAAGGGAAAGCTGTTCTATCTCTTTAAAAGGTGTTTAAGCCTTACTGATGACTCATCAGGCGGAAGCTGGAGCTAGGAGCTATGGGTGCGAGGGTAAACTGAGCGTGAGCCGTCCACCAAGCAGAGTTGAGTCCAGAGGGACAGGGACGGGAGCAGGGTCAGTCCAGAGGGACAGGGACGGGAGCAGGGTCAGTCCAGAGGGACAGGAGCAGGTCAGTCCAGAGGGACAGGAGCAGGGCAGTCCAGAGGGGACAGGAGCAGGTCAGTCCAGAGGGGACAGGAGCAGGTCAGTCCAAAGGGGACAGGAGCAGGTCAGTCCAGAGGGGACAGGAGCAGGTCAGTCCAAAGGGGACAGGAGCAGGTCAGTCCAGAGGTCCAGAGGGAGAGGAGCAGGTCAGTCCAGAGGGACAGGAGCAGGTCAGTCCAAAAGGGACAGGAGCAGGTCAGTCCAAAAGGGACAGGAGCAGGTCAGTCCAGAGGTCCAGAGGGACAGGAGCAGGTCAGTCCAGAGGGGACAGGAGCAGGTCAGTCCAGAGGTCCAGAGGGATAGGAGCAGGTCAGTCCAGAGGGACAGGAGCAGGTCAGTCCAGAGGGACAGGAGCAGGTCAGTCCAGAGGGATAGGAGCAGGTCAGTCCAGAGGGACAGGAGCAGGTCAGTCCAGAGGGATAGGAGCAGGTCAGTCCAGAGGGACAGGAGCAGGTCAGTCCAGAGGGATAGGAGCAGGTCAGTCCAGAGGGGACAGGAGCAGGTCAGTCCAGAGGGACAGGAGCAGGTCAGTCCAGAGGGACAGGAGCAGGTCAGTCCAGAGGGACAGGAGCAGGTCAGTCCAGAGGGACAGGAGCAGGTCAGTCCAGAGGGACAGGAGCAGGTCAGTCCAGAGGGGACAGGAGAAGGTCAGTCCAGAGGGACAGGAGCAGGTCAGTCCAGAGGGACAGGAGCAGGTCAGTCCAGAGGGACAGGAGCAGGTCAGTCCAGAGGGACAGGAGCAGGTCAGTCCAGAGGGACAGGAGCAGGTCAGTCCAGAGCAGAGGGACAGGAGCAGGTCAGTCCAGAGGGGACAGGAGCAGGTCAGTCCAGAGGGACAGGAGCAGGTCAGTCCAGAGGGACAGGAACAGGAGCAGGTCAGTCCAGAGGGGACAGGAGCAGGTCAGTCCAGAGGTCCAGAGGGACAGGAGCAGGTCAGTCCAGAGGGACCGGAGCAGGTCAGTCCAGAGGTCCAGAGGGACAGGAGCAGGTCAGTCCAGAGGCACAGGAGCAGGTCAGTCCAGGGGGACAGGAGCAGGTCAGTCCAGAGGGACAGGAGCAGGTCAGTCCAGAGGCAGAGGGACAGGAGCAGGTCAGTCCAGAGGGACAGGAGTAGGTCAGTCCAGAGGGACAGGAGCAGGTCAGTCCAGAGGGACAGGAGTAGGTCAGTCCAGAGGGGACAGGAGCAGGTCAGTCCAGAGGGACAGGAGTAGGTCAGTCCAGAGGGACAGGAGCAGGTCAGTCCAGAGGGGACAGGAGTAGGTCAGTCCCCGAGGGACAGGAGCAGGTCAGTCCAGAGGGATAGGAGCAGGTCAGTCCAGAGGGGACAGGAGCAGGTCAGTCCAGAGGGATAGGAGCAGGTCAGTCCAGAGGGACAGGAGCAGGTCAGTCCAGAGGGACAGGAGCAGGTCAGTCCAGGGGGACAGGAGCAGGTCAGTCCGGAGGGCCAGAGACCAAGGAGGAGAGTGGCTCTCTAGGACCTCTGTGGCAGTGGGAAGAAAGCCCCTAGTTGTTTTCCAGCTCAGCCTTTGTCAGGATGGGAAGGGGCGTGTGAGGAGGGCCTGACAGGGACCCTGTCCCCACGGAGTCAGTGTGGATACATAAACCAGGCGTTGCAGAGTGGTGTGACCCATCTGGGATGGGAAGGCTCAGAGGAGGGGCCTGGCCTGGCCTGGAGGGGGTGCAGGGAGGGCCGGCTGTGGTCTTGAGCAGGGTGGTCAGCATAGGCCTTACTGAGAAGGGGTCTTGAGTAAAGGCTGAAACGAGGCCAGAGAGCGGGCCCCGTGGGTTGTGGGGAGGGGTGGGGCTCGCTTTGCAAGCAGAGGGAAATGCCAAGGCTGCCAGGAGACACCTGCCTGGTGTGGCCATGCAGCAGGGATCCGGCTGAGGGGCTGAGGGGATGGGGAGGGAGGGTGAGAGAGGTGCTGAGGGTCCTGTGGGACACTGGAAGGACTTTGGGTTTCTTTAAAAATAAATGTTTTTATTGATTTTAGAGAGAAGGGAGAGGGAGAGAGAGAAAAACATCAATTGGTTGCCTCCCGTATGCACCCCAACCAGGGATCGAACCCACAACCTGGGTATGTGCCCTGACTGGGAATCAAACCAGCGACCTTTCGGTGCATGGGACGACGCTCAACCCACTGAGCCCCACCAGCAGGGTGGCTTCCATCCCCAGTGGGAAGGGAGCTGTTGTGCCTACAGAATTGTACCCAAAACATGGTATTAACTGTAAGAAGTCAGGACAGCGGTTCCCAGAGCCGGGGCAGTGCTGGCGCGAGGGCTGTGGGATGCTGGGCGCGCTCTGCCCCGTGTGTGTGTGCTGGCTGCACGGTGCGTGCGGAATGGCTGCAGCCATGAATGAGCATGTATTCTGCCTGCAGACGAGTGTACACGGAATCCATGCCCCGCCCCCTCAGAGGTACACACGCATCATCTGCCGAGAATACAGAGGCTGGGGCTGGGGGGGTGCAGGCACAGCTCTGTAAACGCCTGTCCTACTGCCTCTTGTGAGCATGTCGTGTAGCTTCTGACATCTTGGGGCTGTGATCTGATGTTGTTTGGCTCTTTGCTGCTTCTCGCTCCACGGAGCGCCTGGTGCCCGGTAGGATGAGGCTGGCTCCCTGTCCCCGGCCCTCCTCTGGTGCCCGGTAGGATGAGGCTGGCTCCCTGTCCCCTGCCCTCGTCTGGTGCCCGGTAGGATGAGGCTGGCTCCCTGTCCCCTGCCCTCCTCTGGTGCCCGGTAGGATGAGGCTGGCTCCCTGTCCCCGGCCCTCCTCTGGTGCCCGGTAGGATGAGGCTGGCTCCCTGTCCCCTGCCCTCCTCTGGTGCCCGGTAGGATGAGGCTGGCTCCCTGTCCCCGGCCCTCCTCTGGTGCCCGGTAGGATGAGGCTGGCTCCCTGTCCCCGGCCCTCCTCTGCCCTCTGCCCCGGTGCCGGGTCTGCGGGGTTTGGGGACGGAGCCTTTCTGTGTCCCGCGTAACGGGCAGTCCCACGTGCCTGCCCAGGTGCTGACTTACTGAAGATGTCTCGAGATGATCTGGTGCAGATCTGTGGCCCCGCAGATGGGATCCGGCTCTTCAACGCCATCAAAGGCAGGTGGGTGTCAGCCTCCAGCTGGAGGCAGGGCGGGCAGGAAGCCGACACGGCCTTGGGGCAAGTGTGGGAGGAGATGCGGTGGAGGGTGAGGGGCAGGGGCTGCGCACGCACTGGAACCCGGGAACCCGAAGCGAAGGCTGACGGCAGCCGCTGCAGCACCCCCGGCCGCAAGGCCCCTCCTCCCGGTCTGCCAGGAGCCGTGGCCTTTGGCCACAGGTTGTCAGATGCCTGCGTGGTGGGGTTCAGGCTGCCTCCTCCCAGAGGGACCGTGGGCTGGGCAGGCTGCTCAGCCTGTGAGTGGTTTCTGGGAGGACTGGAGCAGGGCTGGGTCCTGGGCACTGCCTGCCGTCACGGCAGCGCTCTGGCCATGGGGTAATCAGGGCAGCAGCCCTGGCCGTGCCATGGAGCGCTTGATCTGACAAACGGAGTTTTAAGCTTTAACTAATGAATTTAAATCCCAATATCTACACGTGGGTAGTAGAGTGAGAGCCTGGGTTTGAACCCGATCTGCCCTCAGGAGCTTTGCAGCTGGGTGAAGGCCCTGACCCCTGTGAGCCTGTTTCCCCATCAGTAGGATGGGGATGGCGGTCCCTGCTCCCTCGTAGGTGGTGTGAGGATGGAAGGCGTTATGCACGTAACATTCTAGAATGTCCCGGTGCAGTCAGCCTGAGGAAGGGTTTGCTCTCGTGACCCTGCGAAATGCCTCGTTCTGGAGGTTCCTGTTCTGGGCAGAGCCCCTCAGCAGGTTGGCCTGGCTGGGATTCTGCCCCACCCCCACCATGAAAGGCATTCTGCACCCCCACGGCCTTTCCTTTCTCCCTGACCTTCCGGCGGCTGGGTCGCCCTGTGTTCTGGAACAATCTGCAACAACAGAGTTTGGTCTCCCACACCTGCTATTTACTTCCTTTCTTCCTGCCAGGAACGTGAGGCCGAAGATGACCATTTATGTCTGTCAGGAGGTGGAGCAGAGCCGGGCACCCCTGCAGCAGAAGCGGGACGGCGGTGGGGACAGCGGTCTGTGTGGTGAGCTGTGGGCCCCCCCCGACCGGTAATGGGTGGCAATAGAACGGAAGAAGCACCAGGGCTCTCACTGAGAATGAGTCCCTGATCCCCTCACTTCGGTTCTTGCAGGATAAGTTTTGCTGAACTTCATCCTGGGATGGAAATGTTTAAGGTGGAAGGTATCCCCCAGATATCTCTGGTCCAGCTTACTTATTTTATACCCCAGGAAACAGGGGCCCAGAGTGTGGGTGTGTCCCCCAAAGCCGCTGAGGTTCTCGTGGTCGGACTGGGAGCTGGGCCTTCTGGCTCCTGGACGGGCGACATGTGGCTCGGTGGCTGTGGTCCCAGGAGCACGTCACCCTGTGACCCCGGCCGGAGGGTGTGGCTGCTGCATGAGGGCTCAGGAACGCCGCTGAGGGGTCCCGGAGCCCCGAGGGGCACAGGGCTTCTTGGGTGGGAGTTTGGGGCAGTGCGAGAGAGGACACAAGCTTTGAGGTCAGCCGTCCCTGAGAACCAGTGCTGGCCGTGCCCCTGGCGGCCCCGTGTCCTGGGGCAGGTACCGGGGCCCTTGCGTCAGCTTCCACGTGTGTAAAGGGAGCACAGCACCACTGCCCTGTGTTGTGTGAGGTCCAGGGAGGCGAGCAGAGAGCTCCCGCTGTGAGCCCTGCACGCCGAGTGCGAGCCGCCGTGGCGTCCTGGGTGCCGTGTCTGCAGGAGCCGTCTGCTCTGCAGCCCCCGGCAGGGAGCATGCTGCAGCCCCTGCCGCAAGGCTGCCCACGTGGTCGCTTATCTGCTTCTCAGGAGGAACGGTTGCTAACGAGGTCTCACTGTGGGCACAGAGGCACAGCTGATGCCCAAGGTGACAGCGTTGTAAGTGGCAGAGCCAGGATCCAAACATTGGGACCCTGGTGCTGGCTTCTGAGCCCTTAGTGTGGCCTTCATACTTCTGGTGAAGCCCCGGTGCCCCTGCTCTCGGCGTGGTCGGCCTGCGAAGCACAGAGCCAAGTGCCGCGTGCCACACAGCGGAGAGGGGCTAGGTCCGCACGGGGAGAGGAGACAGGTCCGCACGGGGAGAGGGGCCAGGTCCGCACGGGGAGAGGGGCCAGGTCCGCACGGGGAGAGGGGCCAGGGCCGCACGGGGAGAGGGGCCAGGTCCGCACGGGGAGAGCGGCCAGGTCCGCACGGGGAGAGGGACCTGGGGGGAAAGGGGCCAGGTCTGCACGGGGAGAGGAGACAGGTCCGCACGGGGAGAGGGGCCAGGTCGGCACAAGGGAGGGGCCAGGTTGGCCCAGGGAGAGGGCAGGTGTTCCATGCACGGTTCGTGATTTAACTGGTCGTGGCTTTGCAGTGCAGGTGCTGACAGGACCCCCAAGGCTCCTAGAGGAGTGGGGATTGTCCCGGGTGGCAGAGTTAGGACTTGAACCAGGGTTGCCCGATCCAGAGCCCCTTCTTTTCCCAAACTTCCCCCCACGCTGCCCCTGAGGAGAGCCGGGCATGGCAGGAGCTCGGGGAGTGGCGACCCTCCTCTGCTGGCTCTGAGTGCTCCTGGTGGCCGAGTGCAGCTGGGGCAGGGAAGCCAGGGACAGACAGTGACGACAAAAGGAGCCAGCCTGTTGTCCTTCAGTTCCTCTTGCAGCAGTCAGGTTGGTTTGGGAAGTAAAACTGGAGAAAGTGGAACAGGCTCTCTAAAAGAATGGAAACAGGAGTACAATGAGAATTCTGATGTTAAAAGGAACCTGAGGAGAGAGGCCGGGAGCCAGTACTGGAGGAGCAATTGGAGGAGCATTGCGCAGGGACCACACTGTCCCAACGAAACCTGTTTGAGTTGTGGGAAGGTGAACCTGCCACATGGCTGGGACCTTGTGGCCTCTGCCACCCACTTCCAAAGACCCACTGTGTGTATGTATGTACATGTGTGCATGCATTTGTACATATGTATGTGTGTACGTGCACATGTACGTACAGGTGTGCACTACGTGTGCGCGCACATATTTGTGCGTGTGCTGTGTGCCTGTGTGTACATGTGTATGTGTGCGCTTTCATGTGCATGTGTGTGTGCATGTACGTCTGTGTGTGCCTGTGCATGTTTTAAAGTTGGGCCTCTGGTCAGATGTGTTGGATCTGAGGGTTCCTTGGTTGAGGGAGGAGTTGGGAGCTGCTGGTTGAATCCAGCTATTGTAGTTTGAGGAACTCGAGGCCTGAAGCATTAACTCACCAGGTCTCCATGGGGCCTGGCCGGCTGGGGTTTGGTGCCGCCCCAACCTCAGGTCACTGACTTTCTGACCGGCTGGTGCCCCTTCTCCCGCTGGGGTCACAGTGCCCACGTGCACTGCTACTGACTGTGGAGAAGGGCGAGGACGAGACCCCTCTCTGCTGCCCAGTAGCAGTTGTCTTTACATCTCTCGGCCACCTGACAGCATCGGTGACCCCTGTGGGCAGTGCAAGGAAGGAAGGGCCCAGGGCTGCCTCCTGTTCCCGCAGTGAGCACCCTGGGAGCTTGTTAGAGCTGCAGATTTCTGCAGCCTTCCTGCCTCCAGCCTCCACCCTCTGTGGATGTCACCGGGCCTGGGGTGGATCCAGGACTTCCGCACTTACATGAGTCCCCTGAGAGACTGAAACAGCCAGGAGGAACCGCAGCCGGCACCTCTTCACCCGTTGATTCCAGGGATGTGCCCACTGCAGCCCAACCCCATGGATCCGTGTGGGCAGGAGCACCCCAAGGGGAAGTCCTTGCTCTCCTGGGTGGGGTGGGGCGGGTGGGGGAGACGAGCTCCTCAGAAAGCAGGCGCTTGCTCTATAGAAGCACCTCTTTCTGCCTCCTCAGTGTACCATGCCATCTTCTTGGAAGAGCTGACCACCTTGGAGTTGATTGAGAAGATCGCCAACCTGTACAGCATCTCCCCACAGCACATCCACCGAGTCTACCGGCAGGGGCCCACAGGCATCCACGTGGTGGTCAGCAACGAGGTGAGCTTGCTGCCTGCCCTACCCTGGTGAGCTGGAGCTTCGTGTCCCAGGGAGGAGCAGCAGACCCTGCATCCTGTGGGGTCTGGGATGACTCTAGCCCAAAGATGGCCAACAGGTCTCACCGGCATGCCACAGGCTGCAGCGGCCGCCTGGCGTGCTGGGAGGGAGAGAGCTCTGAAGCCACAACTGGGTGTGAATAGCTTTCGAGTATCCACTCCATTACCTCACCCTCAGCCAGGTGCCATGCAGGAACTGGGAGCACAGAGGGCAGCCCTGCCCTCAGGGTTCTTGCAGGGCAGGCGGCAGGGCCCAGTGAGAAGTGAACTGGATGGGGGTTGGTGATGGGAAGGATGTGGCTCAATACAAAGGATCCCTCTGCTGAATAGGGAAGGTGCCACAGCCCTCCGGGGCCAGTCGCAAGCAGCCCCTGGCAGGGGCACAGGTCTGATTCCATAGGCTGAGGAGGGCTGCTCACCGGGCTTGCTGACACATCGCGTTCCTGCGAGTTGTAGAATGGAGGCTGTACGCCTGTTCTGTCCTGACCTTTCCTCTTAACACTGATGGTAAGGGTGCCAGCACTACTGGGTGCTGACTGCTCCCACTGCTGTCCCACGTGCACGTGCAGTGACTCATTTGATTCTTTTTAAAAAATATATATTTCATTGATTTTTTTACAGAAAGGAAGGGAGAGGGATAGAGAGTTAGAAACATTGATGGGAGAGAAACATCGATCAGCTGCCTCCTGCACACCCCCTACTGGGTATATGCTCTTGACCGGAATCGAACTTGGGACCCTTGAGTCTGCAGGCCGATGCTCTATCCACTGAGCCAAACTGGTTAGGGCTGATTTTTTTTATTTAAAAGAATCTTTATTGTTGAGAGTATTACAGCTGTCCCCCTCTTATCGCCCCATTGTCCCCCTCCACCTGGTTCCCACCCCACCCCAGGCCTTCACCACCCTATTGTCTGTGTCCATAGGTAATGCATATATGCATATATGTTCTTTAGTTAATCTCCTCTGAGATTCGTTGGTCTATTCCATGTTTCCATGCCTCTGGTTCTATCTTATTCATCAGTTTATTTTGTTCATTAGATTCTTTGTTCATTTATTTTCATTTTTAGATTCAGTTGTTGATATATATGTATTTATTGCCACTTTATTTTTCATATATTTAAAAATAATTTTTTAATTGATTTCAGAGAGGAAGGGAGTGGGAGAGAGAGAAACATCAATGATGAGAGAGAATCATTGATTGGTTGCCTTCTGCACACGCCCCCCCCCCGTGGGATTGAACCTGCAACCTGGGCAAGTGCCCTGACTGGGAATTGAACCATGACCTCTTTGTTCATAGGTTGACTCTCATCCACTGAGCCACGCCCATTTGTTTATATTTTTTATCTTCTACTTCTTTTCCTTTTTCTTCTTTTTCTTCAAGAATACCCTTCAAAATTTCATGTAATACTGATTTGATAGTGATGAACTCCTTTAGCTTTTTCTTGTCTGTGAAGCTCTTTAGCTATCCTTTAATTCTAAATGATGGCTTTGCTGGGTAGAGTATTCTTGGTTGTAGGTCCTTGCTATTCATCATTTTGAATATTTCTTGCCACTCCCTTCTGGCCTGCAAAGTTTCTCTTGAGAAATCAGCTGACAGTCATATGGGTGCTCCCTTGTGGATAACTGACTGCTTTTCTCTTGCTGTTTTTAAGATGCTCTTTATCTTTAACTTTTGGCATTTTAATTATGATGTGTCTTGGTGTGGGCCTCTTTGGGTTCCTCTTGTTTGGGGTTCTCTGCAATTACTGTACTTGTAAGTCTATTTCGTTCACCAGGTAGGGGGAGTTTTCTGTCATTATTTCTTCAAATAGGTTTTCAATATCTTGCTCTCTCTGTTTTCCTTCTGGCACCCCCAAAATTCGGATGTTGGTAGGCTTAATGTTGTCCCAGAGGCTCCGTATGTTACCTTCATATTTTAGATTCTTTATTCTTTTTGCTCTTCTAATTGGGTGTTTTTTGCTGCCTCATATTCTAAATTGTTGATTTGATTCTCCACATTCTATGTTCTACTGTTGAAACCCTGTAAATTATTCTTTGTTTCAGTTAGTGTATACTGAATTTCTGACTGGCCCTTTTTCATGTCTTTGACGTTCTCACCTACATTCTTGAAATTCTCAGTAAGTGCCTTGAAACTCTCATTAAGAACCTGAGTATCCTTATAACCATTGTTTAGAACTCTATATCTAGTACTTTGTTTGCTTCCACTTCATTTACTTCTTTTTCTGGAGATTTTTTTCTGTTTTATTTTCATTTGTAACATGTTTCTTTGTCTTCGCATTGTGGCTGCTTCCCTGTGTTTGTTTCTGTGTATTGGTTAGAGCTGCTATGTTTCCTGGAATTGGAGAGTAACCTTGTGGAGTAGGTGTCCTGTAGGCCCCAGTGGCTCAGCCTCCCCAGTCACCTGAGCTGGGCACTGTAGGTACACCCCTGTGTGGGCTGTGTACACTGTCTTGTTGTAGTTGAGCCTTGATTTCTGTTGGTGTCACTGGGAGGAATTGACCTCCAGGCCAATTGGCTGTGAGGACCAGTGGCAACTACAACGGAAGAGCTGCTGTGCAGGAGATACCCCTATGGAGCAGGACTTGCTTCAGTGGGGCCTTGGTGCTCACAGAATCTTCCCTTTGAATGTGTCACTCGTGGATGTGTAGAGCTGAAATCTGGTATGGTCTGAAGCTGTCCTCTTGGTGCATGGCTCTGGAGCCTCCTGGGAGGTTCAAAGTCAGACACTGCCTGTGCCCTTCCTGGGGCCACTGGGCAGGAGCTACAGATTGATCTGCAGATGGCTGCTACTTGTGTTGGGCTTGGAAGTGCCCAGGGGAGGCCAAGCTGTGAAGCAAGGCAAGCTGCTGCTAATGCCAGGCCTGGGGCCACTTATCAGGAGGTATGGGGCACACTGACATCAGCTGCTACTTATTTGAGAGATTTTAGGAAAGGCTGAAGACTGAGCTAGGACAGGTTATATGAAAAAGCCTTCTTCAAGCAGTTTGGGTGGGGCTGCAGATTGGGTGAGGGGAATCACCAGGGCGAAGCGAACAGTGTGAGCCAGGTTGATGGAGACTCAGATATGGTGCCTGCCAGTCAGCTCTGTGACTTGGGGGCGGGGGGGGGGATGTCAGGGGAGGGATGTGGGGGTTGGGGGATGGGGAGGTCTCACATAGGAACAGTGACCCCTGTGAGCATCCCTGTCTGGGAGAAAGCTGCCCACAAGTTCTTGCCCTGATGCCAGACAATCCAGTTCCTCCTGGATTCCCCCAAGCCGATGCCCCAGTGGGAATGAGTCCAAGTAAGTCTGTGTGTTGCGCCTTTAAGAGGAACTGCCTGGGTCTCCAGCAGCCTCTGTGAATGACTCATAGCCCACCTATGATGGATTATCCCATCTCACAGGTAGGAAACTGAGACAAGAGAGCAAATGCCCAGGTTGCACAGCTGGTAAGGGCTGGAGCCAGTGGGGGGGATCCCTGGTAGTCCAGCTGTAGAGCCCAAGCACTCAGCCAGTAGGCTACCCAACCTTTCCTAAATTGAACCCTTTAAAAAAATCGGCTGGAACCCTGATCCACCTGCTCAGCCCCTGCAGACCCTGAGCCAGCTGTGGGAACTCTGAAATCTATGTCGAGGATTTTAGGGGAAATGGCACAAGAGTGGTTGCTGGGGACATAGAGAAAAGGTGGCATTTGGAGTTGGACTGGTGTCCCCACCTGGAACGGGCTCCTAGTAGCTGAGCAACCTTGGGAAAATTTATTTAACCTCTTTGAGCCTCAGTTTCCACACCTGTAAAATGGGGATAATTATACCTATCGAGCAGGTAAGGATAAAATGAGGAAACTGTGTTAGGTACCGGAAGATGCTAAATAAACAGTGGATGTTGTTGTTGACAGTGCTAGGCACTTGTTATTTTGGGGAGCAACTGATGGACAGATCTTTAAATTTGACGATGTATAAAATGTAAGGCTTTTAATGGTCTGTGTATATTTATTTCATAAATTTGTCATTATTAGTAATAATCCTGTACTTCAGAGCCCGTTTCGTGGGTATCTCATCCTGGAGGTCCGTGAGGTGAGGTGAGGTGAGGTGAGGTGAGGTGAGGTGGTGTTCCTTCCTTTTTATTTAAAAAGCAATTCACAGAGTAAGCAGCCAGGCAGCATGGAGCAGCAGAAGGCAGGTGTGAAAGGCCCTGGCTTCCCCGCTCTCTTCCTGCAGGAGTTTACTTAAGTGTAATGAGGTGCTGCCCGATAGTCTTATGCTGGTGGTGTTGTGTGCCTGAGCGTGTACTTCTGGTTTCTCAAACGTGCAACCCACATGCAGCTGTACATCCCTCTGCACTTTGCTGTTTGCGTCACGAGGTCAGAATTCCTTCCATGTCATTATGTTCAAATCTAATGCAGTTATTTTTTTGCCCCATTTCACAGATAAAGAAAATGAAGCCCAGAGTCTCTGGCCTGAGAACTTAACTTTGGACTAGCCAGGAAGGTCAAACTGCCCTGAGCAGTGGGTGGTTGTTTTGGCGTGGAAAACTTGTTACTTTGCAATTCAGAATGAATTTCTTCTGTGAAGACAGAAGCCAAGAATGTATGGAACCCTTGCAATTTCACTGGTCCCTGAAGGAAGGTCCTTCCCCAGCTTGCCCTGTGCCCCCAAGAGTAGGCAGTTAAGCAAGTGAAGCAGAGAGCAGAACTCCAATGCCACCTCAGCTAAGTAGGCCATTCTTATTCCCCGAAGTCTCCTTGCCTCTTGACCCCAAATCAATTGGAAACCTCTGGTTCTTAATTGTCCGGAGCACTGCAGGCAGTCTGGCCAGCCACCGAGCGGCCCCTGGGGTGCAAGGGCACTTAATTAAATGAGGGAGTTACTGATTAAGCCTGTGTGGTCTCTGCCTCGAGCTTTGCATGCCCAAGTGGGTGGCTGCCAAGGGACCTCGCGGGAGCAGGCCAACAGTACAGAATAAATG